TGCCACTGGGCAGAGCCCTCTGGCAGAGAGAGGAATATCAATCAGCTCCGCTGTTGCTGTGCATCTCCCCACCTCCCACAGTTTGTGCCCTCATAATTTAGCCCAGCCTAATTCTTGCTCCCAAGAGAGTCAAGATTGAAAAGCAGGTGAAATGGGAATTTTTTCTTTGTTCTTGGGACCTGTCCACCACCCTGTGTTGAGTTAGTGGCTGGGGATGGTGGCCGGCAGGAGAGCCCTGGGCAGGCTGGTGAGCTGTCACTGCTCCAGACTGCCTATGGGATTTTGGCTTCCATACAGATTTTCTCAGGGTGGTAGGGGGGAGACTGGCTGCTGCTTTGCTTTGCATACATGTCTGAAATCTGAGGCTCATGTATAGAAAACCAGTTGCCTTTGTAGCTGATTGCAGAACGTGTTTTGTCCACCCATTTTAGCATCAGAAAAGACTACTTTGAAGATAATATGGTGGGAACTGGGCAACTCTACACTAGGTTATTGAACGCAAGCAAGGACTTGGAGCAAGGCAGGTGCTACTCCTTCCTTCTGATTTATTTCTGACTGTAAACCCTGCCACCCATCCTTGGAGGTCAAGCAACAGGAAGGAATCTTCTCCACAATATGTAGCCACAAATCATTAAGTAATTTAAATGTATAACTTCAAAAATAAAGCTTTGTTCCAGGCTGTGATGGGGAAACCTCTGGCCTTGGAGGCTGCAGGGCAGGACTGGAGGAGGCTGCCTTTGGGGTTTTCACAGCACTGAGTCACTGCTCTGATCTGCAAAACTTCTGTGTATGTCTGGGCAGGCAGGTAGCCAGCCTACACTGTAAGGATTTGGGTTTGTGGCTCAAGACCTGTTTGGCCAGGATACTGGTCAATGAGTGAAAGAAAGCAGCAGAAGACCTTGCAGGACTTAGAGCGCAGGCAGCGGAAACAGGGACATCTGCTCTGGGGTTAAGGCCATCAGCTCTTTTAAAAGAGAAATCCCCCCAACCCTGCATCCCTACGGTGTGCTTGGGGCAGCAGTGGGTACTGGCATCGCCCCTGCTCCCACCCTTCTCCCATGGCTGGGATTTACCTGGCTGGGGTGGAAGCCATCAACGGGTTCGATCAGCTGCCAGGGCTGGCCTCCCATCTTGCGCCACTCCTCTGCCGCTGCAAGCAAGGTGGGCAGAGGGGTTAGCAGCAGAGAGCACGCAGGCTTCTGCCTGCTGATGGACCACCCTCCCCCTTCCTCAAAGTGCCACCAGTAGTTTTAAGCACAAGACAGCTCTGCATGGAGGTTATGATAATTCATATGAAGTTGTCAGAGTCAATATTGTGTAGGGTCTCCTCTCCTCGGGGCAGCGTTTAAGGCTTTATTGTTAATTTATTATTTTTTTTCTCTGCTATATTTATGCCAGGAAGCGCTTTGAACATAAATGATCATAAAACAACTCACTTTCCCTCCCAACCAAGATGGATGCTGTAGCAAGTAAAGCTGTAAATTATTTAATGCCAATTTAATACTTTTGCATTTCCCATTTTAGCTGCATCTTCAGCAGTGCAAAAAAACAAAGGGATAAAGGAAACGGTGCTTTTTAGAGAGAGATGGTAACACAATATTCACAGGGGCTGGTATTTGCAGAAATAGGCTGTCATTTTCAGTTACTTCTCTTCTGAGCTCTCTTTTTCAACTCCAACAAAATAACCTTTTGAATGACATAAGCATGACATTCAATGCAAATGATGCTGTGCTAGAAGCCTCAGAGCCATTAGGGAAGTAAAAAGCTTTCTCTCTTCAAAAGGGCTGTGGATTGATCAAACATGGGGCTAGTGGATATGGCATTAACAGACTTTAAATTCAATATTTTTCTTTATAATGACACATTAAGAGTTCTTAATAGCATTATGCAGGCATCCTGTCAGGAGGAAAATGTTCTCTGCTCAAGCACCACAGTTCTGACCTAGACTCACTGCTGTTTGTTGGACCCTGACTATTGTGTCCAAAAATGATGTCTGGGTCCCCACACTAACTCTGAAATCACACAAGGGTGATATTCCCACTTTGACTGTTGAAAACTACTTGAGATGCTTTAGTCAATACATAAAGTAACCTGCTTCAAGACCCAGGGCTTGAAGCTTTGCTTCATATTTGCAATATATTGGACAAAACACATATTCATCCTTGATTACACCACAGAGTGCACATATATATGCACAGAGTGAGCTTGCCTAACTCCTTATATATTGTATGTTGAGTGCAAGGCTGTGTGTTGTGCTGTGCTTCATAGAGAGACTGTTGTTTCAGTGCCAGAAATAGCATAGGTGTAAGTCAAATAAGTAAAGTTTACATCAAGTTAGGTGAATTTAGGCTGTTAAACTTGACCTCCAAAAACCCTAGAGCAGTTGAACAAATACCCATCAACTTAGCATGGCCAGAGTTTGTCTTAAAAGTGCCTGTTGCCTTGGCTAGATCAGACTAGAGCTTGCTCCTATGCCTACCAAGAAAAAGCCAAACCAAACAATCTCTATCCCCCTATTTATTGCACTGCCTCTTAAGGGAACCACAAAGTTCTTCAGCCAAAGGCAACATCCAAGCTTGAATGTCCGTCTAAATCTAGAATAAATGCTAGTATACTCAAATTTTACTCCAATAAAGCTGGGAGCTACTGTTTCAGGCCGGCTTGAAATCAGTATACTCATCACAGTGTGTAATCACAGCTAAATATTTGATGCCCAGAGAGTTTGGGGAGGATTTGTGCTTGCATCAGAAAGAGACCACAAAAGTAGGTCAACAGCCTTAGATGACTTTTGAGCACATTCACAAACTGACAGCTTTCCTGATGGGAAGCTCAAATTATTGGCTCTGGGGCTGCAAGAACCTTTGCAAAGTGTCTTTGAGAGCTGATGTTTGTATATGCATGTGTGATTTTGTTTACCTCATTTATTTAACGCAATGTAATCAAGAACAGCAAATTATATTAGATGTTTCTTTTCCTGAAAGCAAATAAATTACCTAAAGTTAGTGATTTAACTTATTAAAGTAATTTGCCTACACAGCAGGTAGTTTGTTCCAAATCCTAATTACTTGTTAAATATTAAGTAGCTGAGGCAAAAGCCACAAGGAGACTTGGGTATTCTGAAACTGTGTTACAATATCAAACATGACTGTGGAGCCCACCTCTCTGAGACAAGGTTTTACACCCAAAGACTCCCTCTCCCATCCTATCATCTTTGCCTCCTCTTCTGTATAGCCTGCAGGGGACCCAGAACCAGCTTCTGAATTGGGTCATGTAGGATAAAAGAAATTTGTGAATTTTTATAGGCTTTCACTGCAAATGAGATTTTTGCAATAATCTTATGTGCTTCAGCAGTTTCGTGCTTCCAAGTACAGCCAGACACTGATGGATAGGGGAGTTCAAGAGGTACACTTTGAAGTATTGCCAGGGTGCTTCTGCTGAGAGGGATGTGGGGACAGGCCCCAACCCTGCAAGGACACCATCAACTCATGCTCACAATAATGAGGAAAAGTTTCTGGTTTCTGTAATTTTTTTTAAGTGACAGTTACAGAAGGAAGTGATTTAAGTAATGAGCTTACCAAATGCCATTTAAGATCACAGAAGGATGAGTTTTGTAAACTCTTCAAGTCACAAGTAGTATGAAAAAGAAGAAGAAAGCACATAAAAGAAGGAAGCTCATGCTGGGAGAGGTGCTTCTACTTTAGAACACAGTGTGTTAAGAGAGGATGGCTGTGTCATTCAGGCAGGAAAACTGACTGAGAAAAATTCTCCTTCCTGAGGCACTGCTCATCCCAGAGGAGGCAAAGTGCTCATTAAGACCACCTGCACAGTTGCAGATATGCCTCCTCCAGCCTAGATGAGCCCCTATAAAAACAATGTTAAAAATAAAACCAAATCTTATGGATAGAGATAGGTTGGAGATTTTTTTTTAAATTATTATTATTATCCATCAGCCTGAGAAGCTGCAATGGGCAAGTAGGAGGCATTTTTAGTAGATGCTCATTTTCCATCCCTGTGGCCTTGCCACCAGCACCCACTGCCACCCAAGTGCAAATGGGCAGTGTGCTGGGGTTGTGGGTGCTGGCAACCAGGAGCAGCAAGGAGTTTGTGGCCCAAAAGCTGCTGATGGGGTCTCATCTCTGCACAGGTCCATGGTTGCCCTAGCCAGGAAAGCAGGGAGATGGCATTAAGGATCTTCCCCTTGAACCCCAGCCCTGCCAGCAGGGTCACCTAAGCTGGCTGGCCATGCTGTCCTTCTCCCAGCACAGAGCTAAAATATGAAGAGAACATTAGCAGCCCAGCACTTCACTAAATGCTTTATGAGAAAGACAGAAAGAAAAGCAACTTACTTTGTCTCAGTGGGAAATCCATATAGAAAATATCAAAGTTGGCAAATTTCTCAGATCTCGCTATTTCTTTCAGGACGTTGGAAAGTTGTAAAGCTCTCTGCAAAAATCAAGCAGTTTAATGATGATTCATTGCTACTCATGCTGTTTTGCATGGATTCAGCTTTTGTCACTGATGCATGGTCAAGAATTTGAGGTGAGATGGGCTTTTTCATCATAACGTAGACTTGAATGAGAACCATCGTTGTAGGTTGCACTGAAGCCTTAGCTGATGTAAGTTCAATACAGCATAAGGTTATATTACTGGACACCTCTTCTAGTAGCATCTCTATTCAGTTTTTCTGGTAGCCCAGTCATTATTATTCCTCTTAAAGAACACTGAAACTTTTCCACAGGCAAAATGTTCTCCTTTCCATTATCCTTCCAGCTCCTGTGCTATGGGTACTAATGCTTATCTATCCAGACCAAATTCTGCTCTTACTTTCAGTGGAGTAAATTACCTCCACTGAGCATCTACCTAACTGATATACCCACTGTGATTTCTACAGCCCTAACAGAGATCAGGATCTCCTAAATATTTAAATTGTGCAGTTTGGATAATAACATAGGCAATTAGTTTCAGACAGGGGCTCAGAAAGAAGATTAATTCATACCCTGCAGACATATGAATTGTTCATGGACAGAAGTTACATGTACTGTATGCTCTGTATTGTTGGTATGAATATATAAGCTGCAATCCTGCAAAGATTTAGGAATGTGCTTAATTGCCTTCTTGGAAGCCAAGAGGGACAGAACATAAAGTGAAACATATGTAAGCCCTAGTGAAATTAAAGCCATATTTTTTGTTTAGTGAATGCAAATGTTAACACAACTATACACAGAGATGACACATTTGATGATATTTGGTTACTGGCTCTTTTACATGCCTGCAAGGGGGTGCTGGGATTAAAACTCAGCTGTACTGTAAGGGAATAAGTGGCTGATATTATGTGACATTCACTTCTGCAGCCAGATTTTTAGGGTGAATTTTAAGACATCTCTGTTCTGTCTGTTCCCATTCCTGTGCTGAGCCTGGATGCTCCTTGGTCACACCATCTGGTGATTAAGCCCACAGAAATGTGACTGGAGAAGATTAGCACAGGGTAAGGCTCTTCCTCTCAGGCCCTGATCCTGCTGCCAGTGAAATCTATGCAGTTGGCTTTTCATACCCACAGCTACTCTATTCAAAAGCCTTTGATTTCTTGTCCGGTTCTCCTTCAAGAACATGAACCTGAATGATTTTGTCTTGGGAAGGCCACATCCCTTGGGACTAAATGTGGACAGCTGAGAGGTTGGAAAGGGAATATACTTATGAATTCCTTAACTTAATCACCGTCTACCAGAGCCTGAGGGGCATTTGAATGGATGGCTATGGATGTTTCTGCATCTTCTCCCCATCTTTGGAAGAAAAAGTGTGCTGACACCTTGCCTTAGAGATAGTAGACTCATCTCAGAGAGAGGGACAAACTCCAAGAGTGTCTGTGTGAGAGGCCAGTCCTCTTGCAGCCTCATTGGGACTTACCTCTGAGGTCAAGTTCCTGAGGGTCTCATTGGGGGTCAGCCAGCCACTGCAGGGGCTCACCTGGGCAGGCATGAGGAGTGGGGTGTTAGCATCAGGCCGAGAGCAAAGGGGGGCTGGTAAGCTACAGCCAGAAACCTTACCTGGAGGCAGTCGAGGAAAGAATAAAGCTGACTGTATGTGACATCCCTGTTGAGCTGCCCTGTGAAGCACAGAGAGAGGGAAATGTCACATGCCTGATGGACAAATGTAACTTCATTTTGCAGGTCGGTACATTCCCCTGCATTAGACCCCTTGGTGGGAAGAGGCACTCCAGGAGCCCCAGTGTCCCCCCAGCTCAGGTTACCCTCCCATTACCAGAGCCTGGGATGCAGCAGAGGTGGTACCTGCATCCCCCCAGCATGCAGAGCCACTTTTCCTTCTCCCACATATCTCTCTGGCCTTTCATGGGTGATTTGTGCCACGTGTGGGGTTAGTCATCACAGCCTGTGCCAATCTTCTGGGTGCATGACTGTTATTTTATCCATTAATATGTGTCTCACCCTCCAAACAAATGCAGGGGTTGCAAAATCGAAGGGAAGATTGGAGGTGACTCTATATACTCTGAGCTTTGCATTTGCCTTGGAGAGGTTAGAGCCATAAAAGGAGGGAATGATTTTGCTGTCATGGAGGGAAGTGGATACGTTTGTGTGGGTGAGCAAATTCAAGCACCAAGTCAAACATCCAGCTGTTCACTGTTCACATAGCACTGTTCATCTAAAATTCACTGTGCTATGCAATAGCCTGGTTTTCTGAGAAAAGTAAGCATTTGCTCAACCTTTTTGCTTCTTTGGTAGCTACAACCAAGATGGAAATTAAATGGCCAGTCAGTTCTCTGAGTTTCTAGTGCATTGATCCCACCAGGCTTCATTATTTTTGAAGTGCTTGAAAGATGAGGTTTTTGTTGTTATTTTGGGAACTGCGAAGCCTTCTCCCAGGTGAACCAGGCTCCTCAGATTGCTTTGCAGCAGCTCCATGACACAGATGTGATTACTCCCTGTCTCACAGCTGCCCATCACCCAGCAGCAGTATCAGATGCTCAAGGAGCAAAAGATGGGGTGCTCCAAGGCATCTCCTGGGTACTGAGAATTTCCCAGACCCATGTAGCCTGAAAGCCCTGGGATGGGCTGTCAGGGGGACCAGGGATTCAGCAGAAAGCCAGACCGACATCTGGTTACATCTGAGTGGGGAAACCTGCTTGCAACCTGTTGGAGGATCTGCCAGAAGTGATCTCTTGCTACAAAACATGTTACTTAGGATCAACTGGGTCCCTCTGAGACAAATCGGCCCCGTGAAAAATTGCCAACTGGTCCCACAGTTAACCTCTCCTGATTTCGCTTGTGCCAAAAAATGCTGCATGTTGTCTCTGATAATTAGATATCCAGTAGAGGAACAGTCCCTGTGATAAACACGGATTCCGGGGAAGAAATGTATTTATGTGATTAAAAAACAATTATCACAGGCTCCCTCTGCCCCAAAATGGACAGGATTTTTCTTTTATTTTTTCTTTTTTTCTGCTTTCACTTGATAGTAGTATAGTGCTTATTACAGAAAAATATAACAAGGTGTCAGGAATATAAATGGAGACCTCAGACTTCATGAGAAGAGACAAGTGCTTCTGAGGGGTAAAATAACCCATAGTAGATGATGCAGAAGCTGTAGGGCCATTGACAGTGATTGCAGAACCCTGGGAAAACCACAGCACAGAGTCTGCTGAAAGATCCAGTTCCCAGCGGTTGCCAAAATCATCTGAAGATGTAATCTACCATTTTAATCATGTGATTTAACTTCACTCTCTCTTTACTAATGCAGACTAAGATGACAACAACTTCCCACACATTCAGGTGCAAAAGTGTGTCCTCTACCCAAATAAAAAAGAAGAATATGCTTATGGTTTAAGATTTGACAGCAGAAGGGCCTGATAGTTCCTTGTGCACACATTTGACTGGAGAGTAATAGACATACTTTAGTTGTTTTGTATTTCTTTGCTACTTGAATCAAACACTTCACCTTCTTTACCCATGGTAGGGTGGATATTGGTGGAATTTGTAGAGAAGGGGTTCTGCAGCCAGCTTCCAAGCTTTCCCTCCCCACAACTTCCCATGTCCTCAGGGAACTGTTTCCACACTGACCACAGACTAACTGTCAGACTAATCAAGGGCATCTCATGTCACTGGGTGTGAATGCAGCCCCCTGAGATGAAGTTCCTCCTTGCTGCTTTGCACAGGATGAAGCCAAGGAGCAAGTGGCCTGTTGATAGCCAGACATAGGGTTTCATGAATGCTCTGAGATGACGGGTTCTCAAAGTTCTGGAAACGCTGCCCCAAAGTACCTTACGGTAACTGTGCTTTGAGGGAACAGTGCAAAACATGCCTGCACATGGTATGAGGTTTCAATCATCATACCTGTAGGTAGGGCAGCAGGTGGCAGGCACCCAGCACTTGTGGGAAATTTATTTCTCTGGCATATAACGTCTTTCACAACCTTCCATCTTAGTCTTCTGTCCCGGCCCAGTCCGTGAGTGGAGATGTTCACCAAACATCCCTCTCCACCTCTTAACAACAACAAGGATGACGTACAAGTAGGTCAACCAGAATTTTGGGCCAAGGCTGAGGCAGAACAGCTTGTTTCAATGTCCACACCACGTATTGAGCCTGGTTTGGAGCTGAGAAGGTCTGGGGACCAGAGAGGATAGAGGTCTGTCCTCCAGCTGCACTGCCCTGCTCTGGGGATGGTAAGCTAGCTCTCCTACTGAAGAGCCAATACCTGTCTCATATTTCTCAGATCTCCTCCATGCTCTCACATGTGCTTAAAATTGTCAATAGATTCATAAATTATTCAGGGAGAGAAGACAAGGTGAGAAGGCAGATAAGCAAGCAGATTCTACTATGTCTCATATTTACCTAGAGGGTGGTATCGGTCATGCAGGTTATCCCAGAGGAAGCGGCCATCTACCAAGCCTGTTAAAATCACGTGACTGCCATTTGGAAGCCGGGAGTCCAGGTACCTCAGAGCTTGCACCACGTTGAAGAACATTTCTTGAGGCGTAGTCATGTGAGCCAGCGTGTCCTGGTACCTGCAGAAGAAGAGGATGCCAACAGGACATTGTGTCAGGTAACACTGTGCCCCCTAAAAGATGCCTGAAACAGCAGGATTTTCTCACTTGCTGTTCTGTTCCTCTGCATTAAGTTAGCTAAATAAAACCATATGAGAAAGATGCTATGTGCTTTAGTCCCTCATGGTTATTGTGAAAATCAGAAGTGATACACAAAGTTCCTTCAGTGTAACCCTTTTCCCTGCTAAAAACAGAGAGATGCATCTCAGGCCTCCTGTTGTGAGTTAAACCTGGTGAGCAGCCAAGAATCTTGCTCGCTTCCTCCTCACCCCAGTGAGTAGGGGGAAGAGGAAAGGCAGAGTAAAAGCAAGAAAACTTGGGGGTCAAGATTAAAAAAAAGAAAACAACTTATTGTTCAATCAATGAAAGAGAAGTAGAAGAGAGAAAGCAAGCAAAAGCAGTGATGCAAAGGCAATTCCTCATCATTTCCCTTGGGGTAGCCTGATGCCCAGCCAGTTCCTGATCAAAAGATGGCTAACCCCCATAAAATCCCCTTCTCTCCTTTCTTATTGCTGAGTATGATGATAGATGGCATGGATTATCCTTTTTTGGTCACTTTGAGTCATCTGCATGGTTGTGTCCGCTCCCAACTTCTTGCATACTCCCAGTTCACTGGGGGAGCAGAGTGAGAAACAGAGAAGGCCCCCATACTGTGCAAACACTGCTCAGCCACAGCTAAAATGAGTGTTTTAGTCACTAGTCTAAATCACAGCCCCACGCAAACTGTTATGAAGAAAATAAACTCCATCCTAACCTAGTCTGCAAATGAGTTAAGTCTTTATTTACAGTGCAGAGAGGCAAATCAGAGACATGAAGCAGACTATGACCGCATTGGCTTCCTGTGGTGTTAAAAATCCATTTTAAAAAAACTCTGGCAATCCTGTTGACTCGCTCTTTGCAGCTGTTGCAGAGCATCTGAAGCCACTGGATATAAACCCAGGAACTTGCCTAGCTATAATCCTTTAAAGTCCATTCTGCTTTTGGTGATTGCAAAAGCCACTGCGTATGGTGTACTTATCTAATTCCAGTCTGTGACTGACATATGACTTAGAGAATGCCTACTGGAAGTTTCAGCAGGCAAAGGATCCATTACTCTAAGGTTATATAGAATGCTGCTGCACCTGGTTAAAAGCCTCTGTGGTTCTGCTCTGAACAGGGGGAATCAGTGCTGCACCCCTCTATGACTTCAGGGTGTGGGACGTCCTACAGGTGGGTGAAAGGAGGGCTTCTTTCCCTGAAGGTTGCTGTGCATAGCTTACATTCAGAATGGTCTTTGATTATGCCAGATAGAAATATCTAAGCTAGCTTTGTCTCTCATGTGTAGTACATCTCCTACTGCAGGAGGGTAGGAGAGTACTGAGGGGTCTGGACAAACATGAGAGACTGGTGTGAGGAGGAGGTTGGAGCAAGAAGGTATTTAAGATAAAATAGTCCTCAGAAACGTTCAATAGCTGTGTCAGTGTCTCACATGGAGTGAATGTCCATGTTTGGTAGCTCACTGGCAGGCCTGAACTTCTTCAAGCCAGAGTCCCAGGCTCAGGTTTGTGCTTCCCATCTTGTATTTAGTTGTAAATGCCATAGGGAGGTAAAAAATAAAATCCTGAAGTTGAAATAAATTTCAACTCATATAAGAAAAACAAACAAGCAAAACCACCCCAGGCTGCCTAGAGAACACTAGTTATGTTATTAAAATGACCACTTTATTACAGAAAAGGTGTTTCCTCTGCTCTCCCACTGAGAGCTATTGCCACTCTCTCATGGTGCGTGTGTCCATAACGGGCTCTGGGCAAGTGGCTGAACACTGCCCCGAGGAGGCTGTTCCAGCTCAGCAAGAGAGGATCCATGGGTTTCTGGCACAGAGGAGACCCCAGCTCTGGCAACACCTGGGAGGCAGAGCAGGATCAACTCTAGGGAAAAGCCTCCTGTCTGGGAGGCTTATGTTCCATAAGCAAAGAAACAGTGGGGTGGAAAGGACACTGTTGTGTGCCTCTGCAAACCCCAGGAAGCTTTAGGGTGGCCTGGGCCTCTTGGCGGCACATGGAGCAGAGGATACAAATCCATAAGTTGCCTTTTTTGAATTGGGAAAGACAATAAAGACATACATTTGCTCTTATAAGAGTCCCCATAGTTGGGATTTGGAGCACATCAAGGTGATCATGCATTTTGGCAAGAAGATCTACTGACAGTTTTGGTCTTGGCCTTGATGGTGCAGCTCAGTTGGACCAAGGCTTTCAGACAGAAAGCCTCACCCTTCACTGAGGAGCTGATCTTGTTGCTCAAGAAGAAAGACAGGGTATGTCCTTCCAAGTAGTGCATAAGGTTGCACCAACTTCCATCCTTATTGCTTTAGCAGTTCCCATATTTTCTGCTCATGGGCTTGTAGGGAGGCAATCAACTGAGCAGCTAGGAGGCTCCATCCAGGATCTTTCCCTGAAATAGTCCTTTAATCTCTTTCACAGTGTCTCAGAGAAGGGCAAACTTGATACTTACAGTGCTGCATGAGCTGCCGGGTAGAATTTCTTGCCACTGAACATAATAGAAGGAGGAACAGCCAAAATCCTTGTTTTTCTGTCCTGAGGTATTAAAAATGTTTGTGTTTGGGGGATGAAGTGTGTGTGTGTGCTGGGTGCCATGTGGGAGAACTGCATTCCCTAGCAAGGATTTGGGACTCTTCAGTTCTCTGCATTTGCACACAAAATAACAGATGAGTTCCCTGGGCCCAGAGATTTATCTTAATGCAGTATGTGCTGTTGAAGCATTTGAGGCTTTCTGGTTAGGGAGAACTGAAAAACAGCATTAAGATTCAGGCTTGTCCTTGTGACAGCCACCCAAGTAAGGTACTTTTGAGATAAGACTGTGGTTTTGCCCTTAAATTACTTCATTTCGCCTACAGGTGTTGCAGCACTTGATTTCAAAATATTGCTCGGATGCAAAGCCTCTACTGCAAGTAAACATGTCAGTGTGAGCCAAAATTAATATGACATTCATAACTCCAGTTTCTTTTGTCATTCTCTGCTGAAGTCATGCAGATATTTCAGAGCACTTCTCCACATTTCCTCTCTGTGCCAGGCTATGAAATTAAAACTGACCGAGAAACAAGCCATCCTGTAGGCGTGTACATTTTGGGCTCTGCCATGAGGACTTCAAGGTGCCTGGGTGAGCATGGGGGGACACTGTGGTATCCTCACATGGTCCCCCTGAGAGGCAGCAGCCAGTGATAGCTTCTGCCCACCTGAGACCTCTGGAAGCTGATGCTGGCCGAGGCTTGTTGTGTCAGAGCATAACAAGTTGATGCCAATTTTGGGATTCTTGCTGCAATGGATCTGGGTATTTTAAGAAGTGTGCCCTGTTCTCCTGCAATACACAAATACATAGTAATATCCTTGGATGTGCACAAAGCTCCTAGATGTCCTAAGACCACAGGCACCTTAGCTGTGCACACGTATAGTACAGAGGGACCAGACAGCCTTGTGCAATCTGTGTAAAGATTTCCACCTCTCCTCTGTCACAGAAACCTCCTCCAGTCCCTTATAACAGGGACTGACATAGTCCAAAGACAGCTCGCTACCCTCCTTCTGCACAAGCTTTGTGGGCCTGGCCTCCCCATGACCCCAACACAAATAAACATCCCCCCTAGCCAGTGTTTCAGCCACTTGTCTGCTTTCCAGCCACAAGCTCTTCAATGCCCAGGGTTCAGGCCAGTGGCACATGGGGCCAGCTGGTGAGTGAGCACACCCCATACACATGCTCACACGAGCCACATGTACCTACACACAGAGCTGGATCTGCAGGGCAGGGGGTCAGGTCCAGCTCACTGCAGAGGGGTTCCCAGACAAGAAGGCTAGGGGTGCTATATGCTCTCATCATATTTTTGGAGCTGGAGGGATGCAGCAGCACTTTCGTGATGGTAGCTTTATAATAAGGGAGTGTTATGCTCTCTCTGGTGCAGTCCTGTACAAGTTCCCTAATGGGTGGCTGCCTTCCCACCTTGCTTTGCTGCTGTTACCTTTCTGTTTGCTGCAGATGCCATAACTGCAGAGCTGGAAAGGAGAGGCTGGAGAAATGGTGCCTTATGCCAAACGCAACTAATGCCTGCAATAACTGTGCAGCATTTGAGGCTACTGGTGCTCATTATTTTCTTGTCTGAATTTTTTTGTTCCAGGTCTGTGTCCCACATTTACAACTCAGTGGGCTGAGAGATACCATTGCCATCTGTCTTTATTTTTCTAACCCCCCTGTTTGGACACCACAGTGTGGAGACTACTGGGAACATGTAACACAGGCTGCCAATTTCATTATCTTTCTCCTCTGCAAACATCCGTATTATTCCTTGCCCTGCTCTTTGCATGGGATGAAATACTGGCATTTTAACAATGCTTTGGCTTGGAGCTGTGTCTCCGGTGTGCTCAGCACACTGCTCTCTTTTGAAGGTAAAATACAAGGATAAGGCCAGAAAGGCTCTATTACTGCAGTTTAAAGCTGTCCTTGAAGGGGTTTTTATTTGTCAAGCCCTGGGTCTGAAGTCAAGCCCGTCGGACGCTCCACATCCTGCATCATCTCTGTGGGTACATCAGAGGAAGGGCAGCTACACGCAGTGACCAGAGGCTGAAAAAAATCTCCCTCTGCTGTACGTCCCACTTGATGGAAACAGCGTGTTGCTACAGAAGCTGCAACATCTTTCCTTGCTGGAGTCACAGGGATCACTAAAGCCTGATAGCCTTTTTTGATGCTGCAAATGTTTTGGAAGAAAACAGACAGTAGAGAGAATTTGAGCAGACAAAATTGTTTCTGCCAGGTAATGGACACTGGGATAAAAGACAGAAGAGTTTCAAGCAATAAATACTGTTTTGGAACATATAAATGGGTGAGATAAGGCCAAAAAGGTTTAAATTTGTGGAAAATTTCTTTTTACTTTCAGCAAGAATAGAAACCAGTGTTAGAGACAGGGGAAGTTAAAGGAATAACCTGCAGAATGTGAAATGGAACAAAGGAAAAAGAGGTGCTCTTAGCAGAGCCAGTGAAACAAAAGAATTTATGTACACAACAGAGCCTGGGTTAAGCCTGGGGGAAGACACCTAGAAAATCTCTGTGGCAGGAGCCACAGACTTCAGCCAAGGCTGTATTTGTGGGGTGGGAGATAGGGGTGGTGGTAATGATACCTCCATAAGCTTCTCAATAAACAGATGCCCAGGCGAGTCTTGTGAGCAAGTAGCAGGTGGTTTGTGACTGCTTTTTGCACTCAGTCACAGGGAGGCTTCACTTTTGAGGATTTGTGCATCCTTCCCATAAGGGGAGGATGGTGCCAAGTCTAGATTTGGCAGCTCCAGACAGGGGTGCAGACAGAGAACCAGCACCAGAGGGAGATGCCAAGGGTAAAGGTTTCATGGGAGCTTATTTATGCCTGCTGCCTGCACAAGGCCAGGCAGACAGTGGCACCAGGGAAGGACCTAAAAAAGTGGCCCCTGTGGTCCCACTTCTGCCCCAGCTGAGGGCTCTCAGGAGCTGCAGTGGCATCCCTGTCTAGAGCAGAACACCTGCCATACAAAGTTCCAACCCAAGCACTCTCTGTTCAGGAGTTTCAGGGTACCAAAGTCAGTACCTTCTAATGGAAAAATCTGACTGACTGTAGAATTACTCCAGCTTCATTATACGACCTGCAGATGAGACTTTTCAAAAGCTTCAGAAGAGGACTTAGCTGAGCATGGAGTGTTTTGAAAGTCTCAGCATAAGTCAACTTCATTTCTTCCGCTTAAAGAAGACCTGAAGAGTCATCACAGTGAAAATAATGTTACACTAATAGTAGCTCTTAAACTGCTTGTAAAACCAAAACTGTGGTATGGGTGTTCTGTGCACTAGCCTGGCTGTAAGGTGTTTTCTTGCCTTCCCACTGCTGGGAGGAAGTGAAGCATCCAACTAGTGACCTCTTGGCATCCCTGCAAGCACTGCTAATGCTAATACCAGAACTATTAGTTTTGAAAGCTTCAGTTCATTGTCCTGCTGAGCCTTATGACGTGAGTAAAGCCAGAAGGACAAAACACCTTGTCAGGAGAGCACAGCAAAGACTGCAGGCAGTGTGCAGCAAAGGAAGGGTGAAAATAGACCTCGACAGGGGACTACATTGTCAATCTTCAGAAAAGGTAAACCAGTCACATGCTTCCTCCTGACAAAAGGTGACACACTGGGTAAGTCGGATATACAAGCTTTTAAACTCTTTTTTTCCACCTGTCCTGTTGTTGTTAGACTTAGCCTTCCAAGCTAGAAATACTCGGCTTTAGATGTGTCATTGGTCACTTTACCACTGGTTTGTGAAAGAAAGAAAGACAGACAAGCTCTGAATGAAGACTGGTAGGTAGCTATGTCAAATACAAGTAAGGCAACAACCATTTTCTTCAGCAGAAAAATAAGAATGAAGCACAGACCAATAGCAAAGAAAAATGTCATCACAGGGAAGTGCAAAGCAATGAGACATAAAAGTCCAAGCAGCCAGCAATACTCTAAAGAGGTAAAATTTATGATACTCTTATTCAGTTTACACCTTACCCATTGCAGACATCATTCCCAATCGTAGCGTAGATAACTATGGCTGGATTGTCCAACAGCTGATTTCTGGCCAAGCTAAAAGATAAATATGCAGCTATATTAATTGGCAAATATGTTCTCAGTGTCTGAATCACACATCATGTTTGTATGAGATCACATCTGGAAGCAGCCTCATTAGATTTGTTCAATACTGACATGACAATGCTACTAGGTTTGGGAGAGAGGGGATTTTTCTGCTTGTTTGGTTTTATTTGTGTTTTGTTGTTGTTGGGTTGTGTTTTTTTTTTCCCCACTATAGTTTTGCATTTTAGCAAAGTCTCTCAAATATAGTGATTTTTTTCACTTCTTCCTTTTGCCTCTTGCAAACTTTTCTTTTTCACTGATATTCATGCTGGCTTTCTGTCTTCTTTGCACTATTCAAAAGCCAAAGCAAGTAGTTTGATTTCAGGTGAAGACAATCAAGATGGGAAGTTTTAATCAGAGATGGGAGAGGAAGACTATGTTTGACTGACAACTAAGTTTGTATGTAGGATTGGGCTCAAGATTAAATCAAGATGTGGCTTGAAGTTCAGTGCTAGGACTTATTACTACTTTTTCTGGAGGAGAGAACAATAAATCTGTCAGGATGTGAACTATATCAGCATCAAGCAAAGGAAATCAAACCCAGCTGCCCCATGGCTCATCCAAATTCATCTGAAAAGGAGAGTTGCTGCCTCTCACTACACAGTTGCTGCTCAGCCACATCCATACCTAGATTACACAGTGGACTTGCCCACGTTTATCTACATTTCTACCAATCATGAGTAGCACAGCTAGGGGGACACAAAGCACAGATTTAGGGAAAGGTTTAGTCTCTTCCTTAAAGTCACTGGAAATGCTTTGTTAGCTTAAATGGGCCTAGAAACACTTTAAAGAAGTTATTATTCTTTTGATGAATGTTCACACCAGAGAAGAAACTTCCAGCACTTCAGAACACAGCAGCCAAGGGAAGCTGTGCTTGTTAGGGAGCTTGTGGATAATGTATTCCTTACAGTGCTTTGCTTTTTTTGTTTCAAAGAACTGGGACTCCAGCAACATTTCTGTACTGCCAGTCAGCATTTGAATCCCATTAAACACTCACCTTTTTATTAAATAGAGGAGGTTTCCTGAAGAACCACCTGATCACACGTGGTGGGAATAAGAGAAATAGTACAACATCATTATAGTGACAAACAAAATGAAGTGCAAAACCCAACCTCATATTTCCAAGAATGTAGAAGCACTAAAATAAAAATGGAACAAAAACTCATCTCAATAAACTTTTTGGGTGCTGTCATTGGGATTAGCTGTATCCAGGGACCTGCTGCTCTTACCTGTCCCACACTTCAAACTGTGGAAAACAAAATACTTTAAAGTGCTGGGTTGTTTGGATCTGGCTTTTAATCCAGATCTGGCAGCTTCTTTCCATCTGTTGAACATAGTAGTCTCTTGTAAACCAGCCAACCTGACTTGTCAACAGCTGATCTACTTTTAACTTTCCCTATAAATTGCAAAGGGAACTTTTCTCACTCTTCTGAGAGAGCAAGCGTCTCACAGCTATACCACATTGGGACTGATTCAGGTCCTAAACACAGGCACCAAGTGCCATTTTTGACATCCCAGAGTACCCAAGACACCTGCAGCAGTGCTGGCAGATAAAACATGGGATGCCTGAGAGATTGTGCACTTCTGGAGAGGCAGCTGGAGGTGGGAAAGATACTATAAAGCATCTTAAATAGCACTACACACTGATGTTTGGGTGTCTGCATTGCTTTCCCCGTAAGTGTCAGACTTATGAAAGATAGTACTAGGCCAGCTGCACCCCTCCTGACAAGCTCTGCATTTCCATGGCAATGCACCCCAAATGGCTGGATGCAAATCTTTCCTCCTGCAAAGCTACACCTAAGCATCTGTGAGCATCTATAATCTTTCATTTATGTCTTGAATGACAAAAGCATTCCCAATTAGGGAAGCTTTTATGTATAAAGCTTACTAGCAGGTCTTGAAAGGTTACGCATATACATCCCAAGTGCCTATAGCACACAAATACAGCTCCATCACCTGCAGTGCATGAGTGATAGAAAACAAGGAGCCAAAAAAGGCTTTATGCCTTGTTCAAGGTAAGACTAGGACTGTGATTGCAAAAAGCTCATCTCACAGCAAAGCACAGAAACATAATCTTCAGAGGAGCAGGACCTGCAGGTTGTATTTGCTTTTATTTGACAGTATTTTCACTCCTCTTTTCCCACTCCCTGTCCTCTTGCTCCCTCTGTTCTTTGCTCAGCTCTTCCCTGGACTGTCTCTTCTCCTCTTCTCTGCATTGTGCCTCTGAAGCTTGCTTTGCAGAGCAAATCCTGTCCTCCCCGCAGCTCTTGGGGGAAAACTTGTGGACAGAACATCATTAAATCCCTGCTGGACTGGTATGGGGGAAAGATCTAAGAGATAAACCCCTAAGGTAGCAATAATACACTTCATATTTTAATAGTGGTGCCTTTGTTATTATCACTCACAGTGATGCCAACTGCATATATCAAGGAATCCTTTATGTTTAAAATAATCCAGTTCTTCCAAGACAAAAATGAATATATCTTCCTGCTGCTTCTCTCCTGAGGATTGCTGGTCCATTCAAAATCCAGCCCTTCTGTTGAGAAGCTCTTTTCAGCAGAACAAGAACCTTACAAAATCCTTAGAAAATATGGCTTGGAACATACCTACCACCAGGTGATTTTTTGTGTGTGTTTCAATAATTTCTGTTTTTTCATCTAGAGTGAAATGCCTCTCTGTTAAGCCATTCTGCCACTTGGCTCCCCAGTCTGCGGCTGCAGTTCCAGCACAAATAATCTACTCTAGAAATTAAAAATGTATTTACAAAAAGAAAGAAGCTATTATTGGGTATGTATTACTTCTACAAGCATAGATAGTTATAAGCAGCTCTGTGGAAAGCATTAACATAGCACAAATCAAGTAAAAACATGAAAAAAAATGAAGGATTTTTTTTAGAGAACTGTTTTCATGGGTAAATTGAGCCATCAAGGGAGTGTTTGTGGCATAGGATGCAATCTGTGATGAAAACATTCAAGAGAGGAGGTAGAACAGTTACCCTTGCACTCTCGAATGTCCGCACAGCTGTTCCTGGATCTCTTCTGCCTCCCTTTCTGTTGCTTTCTTGTGGGTTTTTTTAGTTTTGGTTGACAAGCCAGGGTTGAGTTTGCTTCCACTTTTGAGCAACCCCAAATTTTATAAACCTTGGAATAGTTGAGCTGCACTCCTTGGTTTTCTTGCACTAGACCTTGTGTGGCTGACAAGGAGCAGCACTAACATGCAGAGAAAATGCCTGTGTTCATATAGTACCAAAAGTGCTGTGTGACTGAGAAAGGCTTATTGCCTTTTAATCTTTTGCTCCCTTATGCTGTAAAAGCAACTGGAAATGTAACAGAGCAAATAAAAAAGCCTCTGATTTTCCCCAAATGAACTCCAGGTGTTCTAGAGATTCCAAGAAAGATTAAATAAAAAAAAATATTACTTCTTAACTGCTTTTGATATCTGATGCTTGATGGTCCAGTGAGCCACAGCATGTGCTAACAAGGCCTAATTTTTCTGATCATAGGCAAGAATCCCAAAGAGACAGATCAGACTACACATCACAGAATCACAAATGGCAAAGGAATACACAATACTAGTATTTTGAAATAGTGTACATTATCTCATGCAAAACATGAATGACAATCACAAGGTTGTTCTGTAATTATCTAGGAATTCTGAGGGCATTCACTTTCCCTATGTTTAACTAACAATTTTTTGGGATATATTAGCAACTGATTTTACTATCAGGATGCTTCAATTAAAACACAGGGTCTTCAGCAAGTGTTGGATGACATTTAGAAGAGATTTCTACCTTTACACCTGAGCTTTCATGTCTGGTTCTCACAAATGAGAATCCCACTCACCCAGCCAAAAGAACAGAAATAGTACACAGCCTCCAAACCTGTGGGAAGCTGCTGGAAGGCAAGACATCAAACTCATATGGAAAATAATTAACCAATTGAAATTCTCTGTAGAAAACTGTTCAGCAAGCCACTTCAGTGGAAAACATTGATTTGGACTGTGAGCTGCTTGTTGTACAACTACAAGCTGAAAACAGTAATGATGGCAAAGAACAGATTTATTACAAATTATTATTAACCTCTATCTCATATACCATGCCTCTTGTTTGGTGCCCCATTAGCAAAGGTGGTAATCCAATATGAAGGTCATCAGTTCTGACGTGGATATATTGATGGGCCAAGGGAAACATACACAGAGAGCTGAGGGACACCCTTCCTGACCCTGGCTGCTCACCCTACCCCAGCCAGCCATAGAAGAAGGAAGGGTCCACCAGGAAGGGCAGAAATGCTGCCAGCATGGACGTTGGGAAGGCTTTCCTCCAGGGTGAAAAGAGGTATGTCCCAAGAAGGACAATGGGGGAAAGTTCCTCCATGCTGAACTTCTTCTCATTGCATATATATGGAGCTGCCAAGCACCATTTTCAGAAGAAGGTTAAGTTGTCCCAAGTGGGTCTAGGTCAGGTTGGTGGCCAGCTTTTTGCTTTACTGATGCTGGGAGTGGCCATTTAAATCCTCCCATTTGGGGAAAATATTACACCAAATGAGGCAATAGAATTGAACTGTTACAATGAAGTGTCAGTGTGATGATTAAGGGAAGATACCAAGGGAAGATATCCAGGGATTTTTTCTACCACTTGTAGTTTTTCCCCTCATTAAATTCCCTTCCCAATTTTCTTCAGTCCTGTGCCCTGGCACAGGCTCACCTCCTTTTATATTCTGCAGGTGTCTGTACTGTAAGTGCAAAGGAGATAATGTGGAGAGGAAAATGAAATTATGCATATAGTGAGAGATTTATTTATTTTTTTTAAGTCTGTGAGGGAATTGGGAAAAGGGAAGAGCAGAAAGTACAAACCCCATTAATGTAAAGAGAGCAGAAAAAGGAAATAGGGTGTCAGGTACTGAGATGAACCTTTTTTTCATTCTCTCACCAGAAAGCTCATCTGGGACACTGCAACAATGAGAGCCATTAACTTTAGTGCCCTGCAACAGCCAGATGAGAAAGCCAGAAGCACCCAATCCATGACACCAAACACTTGTGCAGAAGACCCAAAGTCTCAGAAACATGACGTGTGCCACAGGTAGGAGGAAGGCTTATGAGAGACCTTGCCAGTGGCGTAAGTGGTGCCACCAGAAGGCAATTTTTTAGGTGAAAATGCCTACCAGAGCCTGGCAGTGATCCTTGTATCACACTAACCTTCTAGGCATCCTCTTCTACCCAGTAAGATCTATGGCTGTTGGAGCTGGGGGACTGGGGCAGACCCTTTCTGATCCCAAATCTGGCAGGAAATTCCAAGCATTTAACAAGTTTCTAAGTAGCACTAAGGCCAGCAGTGCTCCTCATGCATGGCCAGCACAACTCATCTAGCAGAGAGGAAAAGAAAAGCGTACAAAGCCAAATTATCTACCCGAGGAAAATAAATTTTCCCAAGCTTCTGCAGCCAGCTTTCTGAAGCATGAAAATTAATTAAATATAATAGAAACACAAAGTGATAATCAGAGAATAATCAAGTATATTTTAAACCTGCTGTTACAGATATCATCTAATCCAACACACAAAAGCTGACATCACAAACCTTAATTTCCTATGGAGATTTACTGTCAACTCTTCATAAAACCCCTCTGACAAATTGAATCAAACTCTGTCTTGAAATAGCTCAGGTTTTCTTTTTTGCTCGCATTCCTCAATTTTGAGGGCTATTCTAGGTTTTCAGTCCTTGACAGTAACTTTTTTTTCTTCATTCCCCTGCAAACAGAAGTAGGGATACTGAAAAGCCATGTTCTTGTACCAGAACTATCCTTCAGTTTAAACCATGCTTCCCACTCTGTGGTGTTAATGCCTCAAAAGGATCCAAAACCGCAATCCCTTTTCATTTTTGGTTTGCTCAATTGCCAAGGTGTCTTAATATCCCTTCACAAACCTCTAGGGCCCTAATCTTCCCCAAAGCCCTTCTCTGTATCTGTTTCCACCAAAGTCAGTCCTCCTTAGGCAAAGGGGATAAAATCCTGAGGTCTCATCACTGGCTTATGTGAGGAAGGACTTCCTCCCCGTCTGTAAATAAAACGGTGTGCATGATGCTTCTTGCAACCTTCTTAGCCTCTTTCCAGCTTTTCCATGCATTCCCAGCAGTTTCTTGAAATTCCCCTTTGCACTCCAGTGTCTCTCTCTCTCCACCACCGCTGGCCGATGAGCCACTAGCTTACAGACAAGAATCTCATCATTAGCTCTGGCATTCATGTCTCATACAATTGTGTTTACTGCAATTGCTGTCACTGCTGTTCCCAAGCTCATCTAAATTATGCCTGTGTAAGGATGTGGCCCACTCCAGGATGGTTAATACGTCGCTGTTTTGCATCATTCACAGGTGCTGTCAAACATGTGCTGGCTCTAATGTCACCACTCCAAACGTTAAGCAGCTCAGGCTTCAGGAGAAATGCATGAGGAACACAGCTCCCCTCTCAAACGCACTGTTCTGCCCTGCTTGGCTGCTTCTCTATGCACCTCTTTTTTCTTGCATTAATCTTCCTCTTCTTTACTGTACATAAGCATTGTCCACAAGATATGATGCAAGACATTTTACTTAATTATACATAGATTAGGTCTGCTGCATATACATGTGCTATCACATGATGTTGTTTCATAGAATTAAGATGTTAAGTCAGCCTCACCAAATCAATCAATCAATCAATCCATTAAAATCAGCAGTGTTAAGCTTTGCTCCAATTTTCATACACCTGTGTGTCCTTGATTACTCCTTTAAAATCTGTTCTAAGAGCATGTTAAGATGCCTGCACCATTGACCTCCCCAGTTTTGCAAGAGAAATAATGTTTGCTGGTGTCCAGCTCCAAAGGATTTTGTAGGACATCATGGACACATTTGCTATAAGACTGGCAACTGTTTTTTACCTCCTCTGCCTGCTGGTGTGGCAACCCTGTGAGCCCCCTGTGCTACTGAGGGATGCTCCCCCTGGGATCCCCCACAGGAGTAAAGAGCAGGGATGTGCAAGCAAGCAAGGACCATTCCACAGCCTCCAGAAGAGATGAGGGATAGACCTTTTAGCTCCATCACTACCAGCAACATCCCTATAAATCTCCACTTTTGGCCATGGCCAAAAAAATACCTCCTAGAGTTACAGTCAGGTACACTGTTTTTTTTGTCCAATGGCAATTCTTAGTCAACTTGTGGAGAAAAATTACTAGGCATACACGCCTCCCTACTCAGAGCCAGAAGAAAATATACTGAATTAAATAAGCTCTGTTCTCTATTTTTTTTCCATAAGAAATGCAGGCAATTAGGGAGGGTTTTCTTCTTGTTTCTGAAAGATGTTCTGTAATGCATCATCAAGTATCAGGCTAGCATGGTTTAAAAAAAAAAAAAAAAAAAGAAAAGAAAAGAAGAAAAAACTTAACATACCATTTTGAGAAATGTTCTGCAAGTCTCTGTGATTACAGCGATTTCTCCTGCGTAAACGTAGATACAGAGAGTCTGTCCAGCCTCTGGAATAAATTGAGGAAATTCAAGCTGCTGATAGAAACACAGCTGATATTAAAAATGAAGTATGTTCTCATCCCTGAACAACTTGGTTCCCAGGTTATGCATGCACTCAAATTTCCCCATCTCTCTTTCTTGTGGTCATAAATCTTTTTCATCTGAAACAGGCTGGCCTAAAATGGAAGCCAAGATATCCTCTCAGAAACTATAAATTGATGGAGAGTTTATTTGAAATTGTTCCATCCAAATGCTTTTATCCTGGTCTTTCAGATAAGGTATTTAAAAACCTTTTTGTTATACATCATTTACTAAAACAATCTTGTTGATTGCTCACTAATTGACTTTTAAATTGGTTGTTATGGTACACTAAATAAAAGAGAAGAAATATTGGCAGGGCATTCATTTCCCAGTGCCATAAATCTTGGGTGGATTGATCTGAAAACAGGTTTTGCTTGATTGTGATCAGTTTTCTCCTTTACTTTGCACAGTGGAGAAAAATGGAAATGCAAATGAAAGGCTAACAGCCCAAAGGAAAGCTGATCAGAAGACCATGCTCCCAATCATGACTACCTGGTCATATGTACTGGGGCTGCAGGTTTTGTGTTTGAACTTAGACACCAAAGGAGTCAGATAGCTTAAACACCATGGCTTAAGAATTGCAACCTTAGACCAACTCAGAGAAACAGAAGACAATGATAAGTTTTGAAACCAGCAATAAAAAGCAACTATCTACATAGAAGCCCATGATAACATCAAGAAGTCAACATGCAATGAGCTACACAAGGAATGCCCAAGCTCTCTGGTTCTCAGTCTAGCAGGAGGGTGGACAAGGAAAAGCAAACAGACCTTCTTGGTCAGAAGACATTAGTTAAATCACAGCATCCATGTTCATCCATCAGCAGATGGGAAGAATGGGCATGGACCACATCAGTTTGTGTGTCTATTGCTGCAGGCTGGGAGTAAACAGCTGCCTCCCACTGCACATTGCCTACCTGCCTTCACCACATGTAGCCATTGTGGCATGGGATTTTGAGCTGCCCTTTTTTTTTTTTTTTTCTCCTTCCAGACATGGAAGAGATTAAAAAAAGAGATTAAAAACTAAACACTGAACCAAGGCAGCTTCAAGGTCAATATTAAGCCTTGGTCACTAGTGAACTTCACATTCTTGCAGCCCAGATAAATACTGTGTATGGAGTAACTGGACATGCTGCTGACTCTGAAAGAAGAGGCTGCATAGATCTTCTCTGTCAGCTTGTCATGTAGTATAATACCTTAAAACACACACTGTGTGAGTATAGTTGAGGCTGGGAGCCTGGTTTTTGCACAGGGAGAAAAAAGAAAGCAAGAAGTACAAGTGTAAAGTGCTTCAGATATTTTTCCTGGAAAAGAATATATTCTGCCAGCTCTTTCAATCTGTTGGTAGAGAATGTCTTTAGGCTTAACTCATGCTTGGTTTGGCATTCCACTGTATTCATGACCTATCTTAGACAGATAAAATAAAAACGATCTGAAACTCAGGCCACACCCAGGCACTGCTGATGATTGTATCCTTCAGTTCTAGCAGGAGTCAGGGGCCTCTTAAGGCTGGCCAGAAAGATGACTAACAAAGCTATTTTAATAACTAGATATGCAGGTATTTAAAGGTGTTTTCTTTGTGTTTGGACTTTGCCTTCCATTCTGGAAGAGACTTCTTGTTTTCCATCTCTCCCTGTGTCTTTTTCCCCATCCACATGAGCCAATATAACACAGTAAATTGTGTCACAGGTGTTTCCAAATTCTTCTGCCACTTCCCTCTGAATGTAA